ATGTACCGTGTTTCGGCTAATCCCGGCCAAGTCATGAAAAGCATATCTATGCAATAATTACCATAGAACAACTAAGGAACAGTATTTCGCGCTGTCCTTTGGAGCAACTGAGAGTTTTACAGTGACAGACATTACACCGACCTGAACTAAACATTACGAACGACCTTACTGCATATATTGGTGTTTATGACTGCAGCCATTATCGGTGTTTTAATGTGACCATTGTATACAGAGTGTTGTATTGAATGTGTTCGAAAGTCCGGAAAAATAAGGAACCTCTGAGATTAGCATGTTGTTTTCTTAATTATTTTTTCTGCGGTGACAGGCCTCGAGCGTAGTAAAGACATCAATTCGAAAGTAACTAAATAAATTGCGTTAGCTTTAAATAGTTGGAAAAGGGAACTTGGGTCGACAGTAATTTAAGAAATCACGTTAACGAAAGTTTACTGAAAAAGGGAAGTCGAGTGAAATGGGAAAATCAGCACCCTTCCAGTGAAGAGCCTAGTGCCGCTTTCAGACTTCGCAAAAGCAGCCGCTGGCAACTATTAGCGAGTATTGAAATCTGACCAATCTCGCCGGCTTAACTGAAACTAAAATATGGAAGGGTCTCATGGCCCTACTCCAACGAGAGGTCCACAATGGGCGAGCGTCGTCGTGCCAACCATCCATCGACTTCGCTTCGGGGTTGGGAGGGTTTCATTTGCGATAGAGCACGTATGGCGTACTTACGCTAGTAAATGCAGAACTAACACAACTTCAATCGTTATCGTCAACAGCGACTTGTTCTCGTCATTTGCTAGTAGCGCTCATCGGAGCTTTAGTTCAGGTTGAGCCAAAGAATTTGGTTGAAATAAATTTGTTTGCAATATTTACTAGAGCCTGATTTTTCAAAATTTCAAAGTGACACCCTCTTCGCAAGAAGGAGAGTGATTCTCCTATTTGACCCGACTGCCTGTCTCCACTAATTAAGGATTAATTTTAGTTACGTGAAAACGTTAACGAGCTCGTTTCGCAGAAATGCTGGTGTCGGCATCGGTGTCGGCATCGGCGGTTGTGAGCGAAAAATCCTCATCTTAATCGTGGCTGCATACTCGAGAAGGACGTAAATAAATAAATAAATTATAAAAAATCTCGAGAAGAGCGGGAACGGAACCAGGGTTGTTGGGGTTTGAGTGGCAAGCGGATGTTCTACCACACGGCCGTGCCTCTGCTTGTGGAAAGAGTGAAAAAATGTATCTGCTTGGAAATGCAGTAAAAGTAGCTTATATGCTTCACAAATACGCGCGTCCTGTATCGTGCAACATGATATATTGTAGCAATAAAGTGTGGTCAAGTGTTTTCTGCCAACGGGCGTCAGTGGTTGAAAGCCGGTATCCCACTACAAAAAGCACACTCGCTACTGCACCCCTTTCCCTAAAAGGCCGCTCACCAGGCTCCCAAAATAAAAAATAAAGATCGAAATATTCTTTCCTGATATTTCTCGTCCTTCTTGGCGCACTACTGTGACGTAGATAGTAGTTCCCGTGACGTCTCAAGCGTACATGCTCTCGATTCGTCAATATACGTGAAATATTACACGTGATTTCTCTTCTGCACTGCTTTGCCATCCGTTCTTCTTTGTTTCACATGAACATCGTGCACAATCAACTTATCTTTATTTTTTGTGTTCACAACTGTGCAAGCGGCGATAACAGCGTGCAGCCGAGAAGCGCGATATCCTTATAGGCTCTAGCGCTTAGTGCTTATAATATTCACGTGCATTCAATAACCAAGGGGCGAGGAGGATGGATCGTGTGTACGAAGGAGAGGAGAAAATTACCCCGTCGTCTTTAAACGCGGGGGGATGAGCGGCCCTTTAAGGCTACGTAGTGGGTGCATAGCAAATTTCAACAGGCTCCATGCACCAAGAGTTTAAAGTGCTCTCTACGAACAGGATGCCGCCATAGCGTTCAACTACTGAAAGTGAAGCTGTAGGGTCCCCTAATTTTTTTAAAATTTACTTCTACCGTAATGGTTGTGGCTAGTCATTTTAGGACGCCTCCCGGAACAACAACAACAAAAAACGTAATTATGAAGAATACGACCAAATATCCAATTTTTTATGATTATTCTACACATTTCTTCAAACACCTAGCATATCATAGTCAATCACGTCAGGGGATAAAGCAACATAGCATTTCGGCACATTAAAAATTGTGAACGCTCTATCTAAAACACAAGCTTAGTGGATATATGTATGAGAGAATTAATAAACATCAAGCGATTCACTTCGTTGCTGACAGCCTGATGACTTTCAATTTTAGCCCCACCATGGTGGTCCAGTGGCTAAGGTACTCAGCTGCTGACCTGCAGTTTGCGGGACCGAATGCCGGCTGCAGCGGGTGCATTTCATATGGAGGCTAAAATGCTTTAGGCCCGTGTGCTCCGATTTGGGTGCAAGTTATAGAACCCCAGGTGGTCAAAATTTCTGGGGCACTCTACTACGGCGTCTTTCATAATCTAATGGTGGTTTGAGCCGTGAAGCGCCATGTATCAAACAATCACCTTTAAATTGCAACGAGCTGCACATGCGCGAAATAAGGTGTTGCATAAAAGGACGTCAGTACCGCAAGCATGCTGTAAATGAAAGTTTTGTACGCTGACCGAAGGCTCGAACAAAAATACTACTATAGAGATTGATCAAGTGCAATGAAGTCTTGGCAAATATGCTTTCTGTAAAAGCAATGAACATCTATGAGCGTGTATTCTGCAATAAATAACGCAGTTCTAAAATTTGTCTGCAGCGTTCTTGGTTAAGAGGCATCGGCTGAAAGACTGGCCACGAATTCAGGCTGAAATCGACGCTTATATACAGAGAGCGCACAAAACGTTCACGAAATAAACAAAGGGACAAATCACCATAGTGGGACTTCACCATGACAGTTCAACACACAAAATGTCAATCAACGTACAGCGGACGCCGTCTCGCCACCACTTGGTGACACAGTCAATAATTGGTCGTGGGAGGCCCGACTCTCGACCAAGACCTGCGAGCCGCAATATAGATATTTGCGGCCCCCGAAGAGAAACTCCACCCGCAGTAACCAAGAATGGTTTTTCATTCAATAAAGTCGCTTCTGACACTTACTCCCTGATCTGCTTTCCAACTGTGTTGCGAGTGTGAAAGTTTTCTTGGCGTGTGGGATTACGCTGGAGGAAACGCATAACGTGTTGATGTCGTCCTTTTGCGTGCTACATGAATCGTTCGTTGGCCACATGTTTAAAGGCTTTAATGCGGCTGAGCTCAAGCGTGTGGTCAATAATAAGGGGTAATCTTTAATTCAGTTCCTGCACCACTATATGTTGCTTTCTGTGTTTCTCTCTCACTACACACACACACACACACACACACACACACACACACATATATATATATATATATATATATATATATATAAAGAGAGAGAGAGAGAAAGAGAGAGAGAGAGAGAGAGAGAGAGAGAGAGAGAGAGAGAGAGAGAGAGAGAGAGAGAGAGGAGAGAGAGAGAGAGAGAGAGGTGGCGGCCCATCAGAGCGTATAGAAACCTGTTTTACACTATTTCTCCTTCTCGTTGGGTTCTCCCCATTAAGCCAGCTCACGGTCGCCCACACAGCGTTCGCACAGCTGAACCGAAGCAAACAAGGCGCTGTCAATTCTGTGAGGTAACATTTGTTTTCATTGTTTTCTTTTTTTTATACAAGCAGTGAGCGCGGCAGGGCTTGTTTTTCAGAGAGCATCAATCTATTGCACAGCTCGCACACCCAGTATTCGGACCCAGCTGCTCCATAGTAAAAAAAACAAACAAAAAGGTCACATTATGTAAGAGTAATATCACTTAGATTCATTCAAATATAAAGTAACGAAACGTGAAGCGACGTACGCATATATTGCATGAGAAGAAAAGAGAATGCGTAAGAACGTTTAAACCGAAGTCTTCATTAAACGTGTGTATGTCGGGAGGAAGAAAAAACCGATTGACGGGACCTCTGCCAATTGTAATTATTCTAAAGCCAACAGACAAGGTAAACTATAATAGCACAATGAACACCGCTTATCTTACCTTAATTTGAATGGACTGTTTACGAACTAAAAACTGGAAGTGGTCGACAAAACAACTCACCAGCGGTCGCACACAAAGCATGCTCTATGCATTTCCCGTGCGATGCTTTTACCGTTAGAGATATCACCCATTCCCTTTGTTGTGATTTTGTGTGCTAACACTCACCCTGGTAGTGTTTACCAACACTACAGCTCGCAGCCCTAGCGGCTAACGGGAAGCATTCCGTATATTTTGCCGGCTTAGCGAAGCAGTGAATATTTTGAGTGAATTTCACTTTGTATACAATTCAGCAGCGCCCATGTCTTCCTTGGTAAGTATTGTCGGTGGCTTCAGTATATCCATGCTTCACGTTTGTTGGTAGGTACCACCAAACTACCACAGACCATTTTTTCTAGAGGTTATTAATTTAGAAATTGATTAAGCAACCATAACCTATTACGTCGATAAGTTGTAGATAAACGTGGTGGAAAGAGGTTTACAGGATGAAAAATTGCACCCAGTAATCACCTTTTCTGCCACTCATTGTTGTATTTTGGTAAATTTAGCCTATATTGACACAAACCCCCGGTAAGCTATTTCGCTGAACAGTGATGAAAAAAGAACGAATCATACTTCTTAACTGCTATAGCGTCGTTACAAACGGCGAGTAACACTGGTGGTCAGTTTGGTTTTATTGTGAAACAAATGGGAAAAAAAGTTTTAATGGCCTCAAAGTTATATATCCACTTTCATGACAGGCACCCAATAATCGAAGCAACGTCAAAATACAAGAAATCTTAGCACACCATGCGAAGCCCGAAAGTTCAACACCTTGATCTCTACTACTCTTGATGTATGCTTAAGGTTGGTCAAGCTTTGCTTTTGCACGTACACCCTACGAGGAATTTTAATCGGTGTCCAAAACAGTCATAAGACGCTTACCGCATATGATGTCTAAAGCACATAGTGTTACTAGAGGAACAATGTTGCAGGAACGGTCTTTGCCGAGCTGTCCAAGCTTGCGCACCAAAATATTGGACTGGTCATTAACTGCCGGTAGGAAGTCTTCCAGTATTCGAAAATGAAATGCAGGCGTCAGCAGTTTCCGTCGAGAGCGCCACTTTGATCCCGAACTGAAATAAATAAATAAATAAATAAAAATAAATAAATAAATAAATGATTAAATCTCAGCTCACAATGACGCGGTGTGCACTTCGCAACTGTACCTGCAGTAGGCCTTCTAAGATAGTCTTAAATGGTGAATGTTACTCGTACAAACGTTACCTCCTTGCGGAATGAGTGAGGTGTCTGATTGTGTTTTGACACAAGATGTATTGACACAAGATGAGGCAGAAAAAATTAGAGGAGGGCGGCATGTTCTACGTAGCGAAAGAAGACAGGGGGCTAAAAAAAGCACCAATGTAATAATTAATTTATTAGAGAAACGAAGCGAGACTACCTGATTAAGAAAGCGATGCGATTGGCGCTTTGATCCGCTGTCACGTTTCATATGGTTAAGGCGATGCTCAAGCGACCTCAAACTTTTTGTGACCGCTGTTTGCATTTTCGTCAAATGAATATAAACATAGCCTGATGGGTCAGAAGCACGAGATTGTGCATTCTGATCTTTTGAAACAAGCTCCGTAAGGAGTGCCAAATGGTGCTTCATCTGTAGACCCTTTCACTGTTTACAAACATAAGGCTTGAACAGCTTCCTCTATTGACCACTGAAGTGTTCCAGCAACCCATAACAAGCAACAGAGGCAACAAAAAGTATTAGCAGAGGGTTCAAAGAAAAGTCCGCACATTCTTTCAGCAATGTTTATTGAGCATGATGCTCAGTTATCAGAGCCAACCTCAGCTTAGTGACTAAGTGGTAACGCTGGTATGCACGAAGATGCTGGTTTGATTCCCAGCCACGACGGCCGCGTCACTATGAAATCAAAAAGCTAGTACACTGAGTAACTAAAATTGAGGTGCCTGTTAAAAAAAGGAAACAAAAAGAACAGCGGGACACAAGTAAAACACTATATAAACAACATTGAGTTCCTCGTAATTCTATTGTGGTTTTGGACCTCGTAAAACCCCAGAACCTAACCCATATATGCTCAGTGTCCTACATGTAGGACGCTGAGACTTTTCACTGTAACTCGAATCTTTTTTCTGTGAAAAAGGTAGCGACACCTAAGGTGTATTTATGATGCCCTGTCTTCGTCACATGGAAGTCAAGGTGATCGCTGGGCTACAAATAGCCGCATGTTTGCTGTCAAAAACTGCTATTTCGCTTGCATATACAGCTGAGCGCTATACCGCGAAAACACAATGTGAGTAATATACAGTTACCTTTTTCTCGATGCTGCTGATATTTTTGTCAATCGTCCTTCAGGTATAGGGTGTGCAGTAACGTTCGTATGGCAGAAATAGGTGCTAATTTTTTTATTCCCGTTGGGTCGAACATTGGTGCCCTACATACCGGGTGTTCAAAATTAAGCTTTATGATTTTTTTAAAATTAGGCGCTCGAAGGCACGTGAGAACCACTTGTGCAAATAAGTTAAGCGGCCAGGGGGACAGAAAGTTAGATGATAATTATCGCTGTCAGCAGCCCAATTAACTAAAATTTAATAATTAACTTTTTACTGGCTGCGGTAAGTTGGCATGTTTATATTGAAAAAATGTAGGCAGTGGTGTTTGTACACAGTTTCAGTTGGAAGATTTTTTCTAGCACGCCTGTGTTCCGAGATATCCGGCTCCAAGTTTAATTGTCTTTCGCACGATTACGCATGCAAGAGGGTGAGGGTCCGCGCAAAGCTCCTCCCTAAAGTGACGCATCTGTTGCGTGTGGTGTTTAGTGTGTGAAGAGGGTGGAAGCGTAGGCATAGGTGATAGCAATTACCCTTGCCCTCTTCGGCCGGCGAAATCAAAATGTGACAGCGCGGTGCGCCATGAGCCTTACGCATGATCCTGATGAACGCGATAACAGGAGACCATTTTTCGCGACGTTTTTTCGTGACTTTAGATCACACTGAGACATCTTCTTGTGAACGCGTTAGCAGGACCGTCCTGCACTAGGGTGCCTCCGGTTAGAGCACAGCGTCTCTGCATTGAAGGTCTACCAAGGAAATCCACGTGGAGTCCTTTCGAGCTAATATGGCTGCTTCTGGCGTGAGGTATTCTACCAAAGTAAAAGTAGACGTGGTGCTTGCAATGGCTGAAATGAATGGCAACGCTTCGTTAGCAATGGAGCTTTACGCGTCTCGCCACCCACACCGTCCCCTTCCAACAAGGCCCACTTTCACAAACCTGTTTCGACGCTTCTGCACAACAGGCTCTGTCCACCTTCCGAGACGGACCAGGAAGGCAATCGTCGATGAAGACTTTGAAATCGACGTTGTCGCGTGCGTAACCTCGATGCCAGAGCTCAGCATCCGACAGATTGCCGATCAGTGCGGTCGCAGCATCGGAACAGTCACAAATGTTTTAAGAAAGCACAAGTTCCATCCATATCACGTTTACCTTCATCAGGACCTAAATGAGGCGGACTTTGAAAGGCGAGTTGACTTCTGCAATTGGGGCCTCATCAAAACTGATCAAGAAATGACTTTTTGCACAGAATAATTTGGACTGATGAAGCTCGGTTTTGCCGAAATGGAAGTGTTAATCTTCACAACGCCCATTATTGGGCACAAGAAAACCCACACTGGCTGAGGCAGCACAAGCATCAAGTTCGCTGGAGTGTGAATGTGTGGTGCGGCATACTCGGGGACAGGATCATCGGACCTCACTTTTTTGAGGACAACTTGAACGGAAAGATGTACACAGAAGAAATATTAGGTGTTGTCATTGATGATCTTGTCTGCAGTCTTTCCCTGAATGACCTGCGCCAAGTATGGTTTCAGCACGATGGAGCACCACCACATTTTTCTACCAGGGCGAAGAACTGGTTGGACAGACGTTTTCCACAACAGTGGATTGGGCGCGCAGGAGCGATGTTTTGGCCACCAAGATCACCTGACCTTTCTCCGCTCGACTTTTTCCTTTGGGGCTACGTTAAAGATCGAGTTTACGTAACAGAGCCCAGCGATGTTAATGACATGAAGGACAGGATAACATCTGCCTGTGCGAGTATTCCTGCAGAAGTACTGCGCCGAGTCATCGAGTCGACGCGACAGCGGTTCATGCTTTGCGTTGCTGCCGAAGGCAGGCATTTTGAACACTTTTTGGGGCATTGACGTCTTGAGAGGTGAAGAGTTTCGATGAGATTTGTGCATGACCGAAATATGCTTATGTAGCAGCAGGAAATATGCGTTAGCAAGGATAAAACTGTTTCAGTTATTATTGGTGGAGTTGTTGCTCTTGTTTCAATAAAAGTTACAGTACTCGGACATCAGCAGTCACGCTATTCGCGTAGCCCAGGCAACGACCACGCATGCTTCTCTAGTGATTATTACGCACGCGCACTGGCATCCAGATTCTCCGCTCGCACCATTATCTCGGCATGGTATCTGCCACTATCGTTAGAGGCTCTGCAGTTGCGTGTTACGACACTGGTTGCAAGCGTTCTTCGATTTTTGATTTCGACGGCCGAAGAGGGCAAGGGTAATTGCTATCACCTATGCCTACGCTTCCACCCTCTTCACACACTAAACACCACACGCAACAGATGCGTCACTTTAGGGAGGAGCTTTGCGCGGACCCTCACCCTCTTGCATGCGTAATCGTGCGAAAGACAATTAAACTTTGGAGCCGGATATCTCGGAACACAGGCGTGCTAGAAAAAATCTTCCAACTGAAACTGTGTACAAACACCACTGCCTACATTTTTTCAATATAAACATGCCAACTTACCGCAGCCAGTAAAAAGTTAATTATTAAATTTTAGTTAATTGGGCTGCTGACAGCGATAATTATCATCTAACTTTCTGTCCCCCTGGCCGCTTAACTTATTTGCACAAGTGGTTCTCACGTGCCTTCGAGCGCCTAATTTTAAAAAAATCATAAAGCTTAATTTTGAACACCCGGTATAGTACGCTCTAAAACCATTGTTCAAAAAAGTTTTTTTAAATAAAGTTTTATTCTGTTTTGTCAGGTCGTAGAAGCAATCAGTTTGTGGAAATAAATTGTTTTTTTTATTTTTATTAGTTCGGGCATATATGGTCTAAAATGAACGATGCTGGAAGCACTGTTCTACAAAAAAAAAGCATGAACCTGGAGAGGTTGTGAGACCTTGTCTTTTTGAAAACGTCACAAGAGGCCTTTCGCACGCGCAAACAACGAAAAAAAAACTACTTTCGTTCTGGTGTTGTAAAGTGGTAAAGCTACCCAACGTGTGCATAGAATTCAACTATAGGAGGTGTGGATAAGTGACGCACTATGAATAGATCCGTGACAACTGTAAAGACTATGTATCTAGAAGAGCGAGTTGTGCAGTATGTATACGAAGTCTGGCACCATCAACCATCAGGTGCTACACTATATATATATGTGTATATATATATATATATATATATATATATATATATATATATATATATATATATATGCGATACACAATGCCTACTTATTTCTATTTATTGAGTATTTTCTCGACTGGTTGTGAAGTGATTACTGATTACGTATTGTACTTGAGCTGATACGAGTGCTCAAATCCTATTAAGATACTGTTTCATATAAACTACAAATATTAGATGGATGATGAGGCTTTTTGCGTTGCTGCAGCAATAATAACAGGTGGATTATATAATTGTTTTATTTTCCACTTATTCAAAAAAAGTATAACCTGAATATGTTTTCTGCAATATTAATATATATATGACATACGGTAACTTTTCGCAGCTCAAATGTGCATGCTCTATTATGTTGAAGTTATTGAATACCATTTCACCATCTTAGAGACAGAGAGAGCACAAGTTTATTAACAGCCAAATGGCTCAGAAGAACCAGCGGTAAAGATAACAACACTTTAATATCACCGATTGAATGAATCAAAGGAACACGACAAGCAAGGGAGCACTACAAAAGTGCTATGCACGCCTGTGCTAAATGCAGCGCATTGCACGTAATTGACTTTATAATTAAACTTTTTGACAGTGACATGAAGAGGATGGGACTGCATGAGACGAGCTCTGACAAAAA